GGCCCCCCCCCCCCCCCGCTGCAGGGCCGGCACCAACCGCGGTGTGTGCGTCCCACCCCGGTGCCGTGCCCCCCACGGGTGGGAATGCCCTATCTGCATTGCTTGCCCCCCCTCCGTGTGCGTTGCCCTACAGATATGGTGCCCCCCCGAGGTGGCTGTGTTTGCAGGGCTGTGCATTTAGGAGGCACCCTGTATTACCACTGACCCATGTGCTGCTGCTTGCCGTGGGGCTGCGGGGCTCCCCGTCCCTGTTCTGTGGTGCTCTGTGCTTCCCTCCCAGTCCCAACCCTCATCTGTATGGTCTGCAGCAGCCTAAAAATAACACCCCACACCCCCCCGCAGCCCTTTCCCCGGGGGGGGCTCTGCAACAAAACGCATCTCAGGGTGTCCCGGGGTGTTTGCCTGCGCTGCAGAGCCCTCCGAGCTGCCGATCCTCTGCGCCCAGCAGGGCTGTGAATGCAGCTTTCTAATAAAGACCGCATCTAATTATGAGCTGCGTCCTCGAGCCCTCAAAGCGCTCGGAGGGGATGCGGCAGAGTTGGAGCGACTGCCATCGCTGCTCGTCACGTGCCAGGTTTGTGAGCCGATGCCCTGCTGCAGTGGGGATGGGCAGCACTGCTGGGCGAGAAGCAGCCGGGCAGCGAGGGGCCATCTTGTGCTGCTGGGGCATCTCAGGTCGTGCATCTGCACACCTGCTGTGCCCGGCTTCCCCATCATTAGCATTACGGGGCTGCATTGCCTGCAGCACGCAGACATCATCGCCCTGCCGTGACTGGGTGCAGTCTCTGCTCTCAGCCTCCCCTCTCCAGCTCAGGAGAGCGAGCATGAGTTAATGATGGCACTCACTGCGCGTAGCAAAACCTGCAGCGTCCCACAGCCCGCTGACCTTGGGGTGCGGGCGCAGCGCCAGGGGTCGGGTGCCACCTAGGGGCTCCTCCTGTGCCTTGGAAGCTCTCCATTGCCTGAGTTGTAAGGTAAAAGCCAGGACAGGCACAGTTTGCTGTGGTCAGGAAGTAGGAAGGCACTGACTGTGGTCGTCTGTGTCCTGCGATGGCTGAGCCCTTCTGCAGGCAGGCTGTGGGTGCTGCAGGGTGGCTCTCACTGGAGGTATTCCCCTGCTCACCCATCAGCATGCGTCTGAGCCGTGCTGTTTCTGTGTTCCAGCTCCTTGCGCGCATTGAGCGCATGGAAAGAAGAGTGCAGCTGGTGAAGAAGGACACCGAGAGAGAAAAACACAGGATTTTCCAGGGCTTCGAGGTGGATGAGAAGGCTGAAGCAGAGGCGTGTGAGAAACTGCCACTGGAATGCCCACAGGAACTGCTGGAGCCCTCGCAAACCCTGCAGCCCAAGCACTTCCCCTACGGCCGGAATGGGAAGGGGCATAAAAGGTAGAGGGTGCTGCGGGGCCGCGGGTGGGGTGTGTGGGGAAGTGTGGGGCTCAGCCAGCTGGCTGTGGGTTTCCCTTTCTCCTGCCTCTGCTCCAGCCAGGCTCGGTCTCACTGTGTTTTCCCATTCTGTTTGCGGTCCTGCTTTTGATTAAAACCCCAGAGATGTGTGTTTGTGGTGCCTGGCGCCCACACGCCTCTCCTGCGTGTGCAAATGCTCTTAAAAAGCAGCAGTGATGCACCTGAGAGGGAAAAGTCTTGAAGCTGTCAGTGGAGCAGCGGCGTGCAGGGCTGGCAGCTCTGGGTGCTGCAGCTCAGCAGTCCTCTCTCTTGCAGGAAGCCGGCGTTTGGGAGCGCAGAGAGGAAAACGCCCGTTAAGAAATTGGTGTCTGAGTTCTCAAAGGTGAAGGGTAAAACTCTGAAGCACTCTCCGGTGAAAGAGGAGTCGAGTGGTTCTTTGTCTGAAACTGTTTGCAAACGAGAACTGCGGAGCCAAGAGACTCCAGAAAAAAACAGGTCGCTGCTGGAGACCCCGCTCAGACCCTCCGCCCCGCTGAAGGGCCCCAGCAGCCACCCCAAGGAAAAGGGCTTCTTCAGCGAGATAGACGATCTGCCCTACCTTTCCACCACGGAAATGTACTTGTGTCGCTGGCATCAGCCCCCCCCATCACCGTTGCCGTTACGAGAGCCCTCCCCAAAGAAGGAGGAGACTGTAGCAAGTAAGCGATGGAGAGCCTGCAGAAGGTGTGCAGGCGGGGCTGGCAGCTGGTGGAGCATTGCCTGCCTTGGGAGCCCTGTGCCCTTCCCCAGAGCTGGCACAGAGCAGCGTCCTGGATGCAGTGGAGATAAGGAGCAGATTGTCTGCGCTGCCCGAGCGCTCCAGGCCCTCTCTGGCTTGTGCTGCCTGTGCTGGGCAGCAGGGCAGGGGGCTCTGGGTCCCGCTCTGCACGTGTCAAACCAGCCTGGTTTCCAGCACAGCCTGTGTGCCTGTTTGAGCAAAATGTGAAGCAACTTCCTGCCTGTGGTTGGGAAATGTGTTTCTGGGTTGGTGCAGTGCAGTGTGATGTGTTTGTTCCTCGCCAGAGCGCCTGGGCAGAATCCCTGCCTTCTGCTGGGCCCTGTTCTGGGTGTTTTCCTCCTAGCCCCACAGTGCAGCCTGACTTGGGGAAGGAAAAGCCCTGAGCTCTGTGAGGTGCCCAGCATACAGTGGGAATGGGGAGCTGCCAGGTTTGCTGCATTGCCAGCTGCCTGCAAACACTGGATAGCAAAATGTTGTGAGTGAGGAGGAGGCCTCTGCATTCCATCCCAGTGCCTCAGGTCTGCAGCGAGAGGCAGGGCAGCTTCCAGCCCTCCCTGTGCTGCCAATCCCAGAGCAGCCTGGCTGGAGCCTCCTGGAGCTTGGGACTGGTGGCGTAGAGTGAGCTTGCAGTGCCTCTGTGCTGGGTTAACATCTGAACCTTCCCCTTGCAGTTCCATCTTGGAGGGACCATGTTGTGGAGCCCCTGCGAGACCCCAACCCCTCAGACATCCTGGAGGTACGTGCGAGTCACGGCTGGCCCTGTGTGTGTGGCTGAGGTTGCAGCAGCCTTCTTGTCACCATCAGAACCGATGGTTGAAGGCACCTGCAGCGGGTGAGGGGGACAAATGAGTGCAGGGGGCAGCACCCATCTCCCTTTCTCTTTATGCAGAACCTCGATGACAGCGTGTTTTCCAAACGGCATGCAAAACTGGAGTTGGATGAAAAACGAAGGAAAAGGTAGGAATAAATGCAGTGCTGCAAACGTAGGCCCTGCTGGCCTGCATGGCTGCTGGCACCCAGCTGCAGCTCCTCACTGCCTACGGGTCACTGTTTTCCAGATGGGATATCCAAAGGATCAGGGAACAAAGAATTTTACAGCGACTGCAGCTCAGAATGTATAAAAGGAAAGGAATTCAGGAGTCGGAGCCTGAAGTTACCTCATTTTTCCCTGAGCCGGATGATGGTGAGTGCCTGGCAGTGCAGGGAGGGCTGCCCGCCCTCTGCAGCTCTGTGACACCGTTTCTCTCCCACAGTGGAAAGCTTGTTGATCACCCCCTACCTGCCTGTCGTTGCCTTTGGCCGCCCCTTACCCAAACTGACCCCACAGTGAGTACAAAGGGGCACTGGAGATGGGACGTCGCGGATGGGGATGGTGCTGTGGGGTGCTGAGTGCTGGTTCTGCTTGCAGGAACTTCGAGCTGCCCTGGCTGGATGAGCGCAGCCGCTGCCGGCTGGAGGTGCAGAAGAAGCAGACCCCCCACCGGACCTGCAGGAAGTAGCAGCGCAGCGGAGCCGGGAGCTCTGTACGTTGCTGAGTCCTTGCCCTCTTTGTTCGTGTTCAGGGATGGTTTTGTTCCCTCCATGCCCTGGTTTTGTTCTCTCGTTTTCTTTTCAACACGTTTCAGACTCGTCCCCGCCGCCTGTGCTTTGAGCTGGGGTTTGTCTCCCATTTGTGTTCCTCCCTCCTCAGCAGCCCTGCGTGCAGCAGTGGGGTGGGAGCCTCCTGTGGGCCCCAGCGGGTCTCGGTGTCCGTGGCAGGCATGGACCGGGCCCAGCCTGTGCTCCGTGGGGAAGGGCTGCGGCGGCGCTGGCCCTGATCTGGTGTTGGGTCAGGAAACAGCGCTGAGCAGCTGCCCGAGGCTGAAGCTTCCGTCAGCCACCGCCTTTGTGTTGTTCCTGTTGAGTGGCTGTAACGTGGTGGGAGGAGAGTTTTAAAAGGAAACGAAAACAAACTTCTTTTTCTTTTTCTTTTTCTTTTTTTTTTTTTTCTTTTTTTTTTTTTTTCCTCGTGTGTGAAATAGAAATCCTCAACGCACAACGTTGGTTCTTTTTTAATTTAAGCCTTCTGAGGGTGGCAGCGTGGCAGCGACCCGACCCCCCTCACGCTGTGCCAGGAGGAGCCCCGTTCTGTGCCAGGCTGTTCCTACGGGCGCAGTGCTGGAGGGCGCTGCTCGCCGCTCCCCGCGGCTGAGCGGCAGGAAATGGGGAACAAACGTTAATTAAACGCATCGCCCCGCCCTGCCGTGCGCGTGCGGCCTGGGCCCGGCCCGGAGCCCGCCCCGTGTGCCTGGGTCGCTGTGTAAATACCCCCGGTGCTGACTCAATGCAGACGTTTTGTTTGTTTGTTTGTTTGTTTGTTCTGTTTTTGGTTGTTTTTTTTTTTTCCTTTTTTTTTTTTTTTTCAATAAAAGCGGAAAAACAGCGGCTGCGTGTCGCTGCCTTCCTTCCCCCCCGTGACCTCTGGCCTCTGCGCCGTCTCGCGCGTGACGTCACTTCCGCCTCCGGGCCGTGCCCTCGGCGCGCGCCCGCCCCCTGCCGGGGAGCGGGAACAGCCGCGGGGATCGATGGGAGGGCGCGCCGCGTGACGTCACAGCGCGCGAGGGCCGCCGGGAGCCGTAGTCCGTTCCCGCGGTGCCCCGCGGCGCCGCCCGCCCCTGCGGTTGCCCCAAGATGGCGGACCGGCGGCGGCAGCGCGCCTCGCAGGACAGCGAGGACGACTCGGACTCGGCCGCCTCCGACAGCGGCGACTCCGCCGCCAGCCCCGCCCGCTCCCGCTCCGGCTCCGCTTCGCCGCGGCCTTCGCACCGCCCTCCGCGAGGCGCCGCCGGAGCTCTGAGCGCGGGGCCGCGGGGCCGCGGGGCCGAAAGCGCCGCCGGGGGAGGGGCGGCCAAAAGCGCTCCGCAATCCGAGTGTGTGAGTGGGGCGGGGGGGAGCGGCGGTCCGCGTCTCTCGTGCCTCCCGGTGGTGCCGCGCGGCTCTCACGGTGTCAACGCTCCGCTGCGCCCGGCGCTGCCCGATCCTCGCGGCTCCCTGCTCGCGGGGCTCGGTTGAGCTGAGCTCCCGGGCCGGATGCTGCCCTTCACTCCCTTCTGTTAAAGCGCCTTTTTTTTCCTCTTTAGGAAAGCGAGGACGGCATCGAAGGCGATGGTGAGTAACGGCTGTGTCGCTGCGTGTGCTCACGGTGTGTGCAAAGGGAAACGGGGAAGGCGCTGCTTCCTGCAGTGCTGCAGCTGCAGTCCTGAGCATCGGCCATAATACTGCAAATGGGGGTGCAGGGGGTGCTGGTCAGCCCTCCCCAGGCCCAGCTGGGTCCCCCCACGTAGGGTGGTGCTTTTCCTCAAGGGCTCTTCGTGCTGCTGTGATACCACGCTACGTGGCCATGTGGTGTATTTGCTGGTGATGGCCCAGGACCCGGTGCTGCGATCACGGGGAGCTGTGCTGCTCTTCCTGCCCTGACAATGCCTCCTTTTTCTCCCCTGCAGCTGTGCTGTCAGATTATGAAAGTGCAGAGGACTCGGAGGTAAGTCAGACTGCGTGTCCTGGTGGTGGAAGGGCTCTGTGGGGTGAATTCACCTCGTGTAATTTTAGCACAACACTGGTTTGTGCCCTTCATTCTCATCTGCAGCAGCTGTATCTGTCTCCAGGCTGCAGCTCATGCGCTGTGTGCGTGTTACAGAGCTGTGCTGCGCTGCAGCCATTGGTGTGAGGGGAAAACGGGTTCTCCAGGTGCAGTTCCTCCTCCCCCGACGGTTCTGTCAGGGCAGGGCGGGTGCTGCTGCACCTGTGCTGCTGCAAGGTGAATGCAGGACAAGCACGTGGTCCGTTTCAGTCCTCAGACATCGCGTGGTGGGAGCGGAACGGCTAAGAAGGGTGTGGAAGAAGGGTGTAGGATGGCGGCTGCGTTGTAATTAGTTGAAATTAAAAGCTTAGCGCTGGGTTGGAAGCATCCCAAGGGGCATCCCTGATGTCTGTGTGTGGCACTGGGTCAGTGAGACGCCTGCATGCAGGCAGCTCTGCACTGCGTGTGCTGGGAGAACCTCCCCTGTGTGCTGAGTGCTGTGCTGGAGGGGCAGCCTTGGCCGCAGCCCATGGCAACACACTGCCCTGCGTTCTGAGATCAGAGGCGTTTGGAGAAGCAGTCTGTTCCGAGGCAGGCTTTGTGGAGATCCTGAGGTGGGCATTGGTTTAAAATGAAAACCGCAAACTGAGGCGGATGGAATGGAAGCTGCCGGGGCTGTGCAGTGCTGGAGAGGCCGTGCCCTGGGCAGGAAGGAGGGGGCAGCTCCCCTGGGCGACGCAGCCAGGCGGTGTTGCATCACCGGGTGCCAGGATGGCTCTGTTCCTGAGCCTAAAAATAATGCCATGTCTGGGTTTCCCCGGCGTAAACAAAAGGAGCAGTTGATGTGCAAATAGGCTGTGTTGAAAGAGAAAAATAGAGCAGCCTTCTTGTTAATCACACCGGGCTATTTTTAGTGGCCATCCCAAGCTGAGCAAGGCTTGCAGGCTCCTGGAGGGTGAAATGAGGTCACGCTCCTGAGAGCAGAGAGCTTGGAGTGAGTCAGCTGGGGAACTGCAGGGAATGAGGGGCTGCAGTGGGAGAGAGGGACAGCGAGGGCCCGGCAGCGTGGCTGTCACCCCATCATGGAGCTCCCATGGGCTCCTGGGCTGCAGGAGGCACACGTGGCACTCAGGGGCGGTGAGGGGGAGCTGCTCCCAGCTCTGTGCTGGCAGCTGTGGTTGTTTGGTCTGATGTCACCAGTGGCAGCTGCTGGGGAGAGACCTTGGGCTTAATCTTTGTCTTTTCTGTAAAGATAGAGGGGTAGTGAGGACTTTGGGAGCAAATCCTGTGCTGTGAAATGGTCAGAGGTGTCAAAAGCGGAATGGGAACTGACCTGTAGGTGTGGGGACTTTGGGAAATCACCAGGAGAGCCGCTGCTCCAGGTGTGTGTGTGAGTAAAGCGGGGCTCTTTCAGGCAGAGGAAGAGGATTACAGCGAGGAAGAAAGTGCCAAAGTGGAACTGAAGCAGGATAGCAATGATTCCTGTGAGTCTGCAGCAAAAGTGGAGAAAGGGGATGAGAAACTGGACTCGAAAGGTGCCGTAACCGGTGAAAGGCAAAGTGGGGACGGGCAGGTAGGTGGTATCTGTGTGCTCCCTGCTCTGCGGGGAGCTTCTTGCAGCGGGGCTGCTGCAGTGTTAGGAGCTGTCTGATTTTGACAGGAGAGCACCGAACCTGTTGAGAATAAAGTTGGGAAAAAAGCTCCCAAGCACCTGGATGACGACGAGGATCGGAAGAACCCAGCTTACATCCCACGCAAAGGGCTCTTCTTTGAGCACGATCTCCGAGGGCAGACGCAGGAGGAGGAGGTCAGGTATGTGGCGCCGCCCGGCCCCGGTGATGCTTGCAGCGCTTGTGACGTGCTGGGAAGGATCAGCAAAGAGCTTTTCTGTTCTCTGGCCCAGCTGCCTGCTAGCAGTGTTCTGCAGGGACGTCTTGGCTTTTAGTTTTGTAAAAGCAGGGACTGGGCACAGTAAACACGAGTAAAGCCTGTTTCCAGTGGGCAGCTGCCGAGCAGGAGGAAGGAGAGATGCTGCCTCCCACCCGCATTCTGCCCTCCAAGCCTTTGCTGTGGGTTGGAGCTGCTGTCTCTGGCTTCCTCACAACCTGCTGTTCCTCCCCATGTGTGCAGGCCGAAGGGTCGGCAGCGGAAGCTGTGGAAGGACGAGGGCCGCTGGGAGCACGACAAGTTCCGGGAGGACGAGCAGGCCCCCAAAACCAGGCAGGAGCTGATTGCTCTGTATGGCTACGACATCCGCTCCGCTCACAACCCTGATGACATCAGGCCGAGGAGGATGCGCAAACCGAGGTGAGCAGCGGGCAGAGCGCGGCCTGCTCCTCGTGGGGGGCAGCCTCAGCCCTCTGCAGCGGGCTCTAAGCAGGGCTGGGGGCTCAGTCCTGGAAGTCGTGTCCCGGAGGCTCCCCTGCCCTGGCTTTTGGTTCCAGTCCTTCGCACTGCTGTTATCCCTCAGGTTTGGGAGCCCCCAGCGAGACCCCAACTGGTCCAACGAGCGGCCCAACAAGCCCCCCCGGCACCAGGGCTCAGACGGCACTTCTGCTGCCCCACGAACCTTCACCAGCAGGAGCTCTGCGGGAACGGGGAGGATGCCCCCTCCCAGAAACTACCCGAGGGTGGGGGGCTACAAGGAAACCCGCCCAGGATACCGAGCTTCAGAAGCCAGCGTGCAGCACCCGTCCCGAAATGGTGAGCAGGGCAAACAGGAGAGCAGCTATCGAGCGAAACGTTCGGAGCAGAGCCCACCGAGAGAGAAGTCACCAGAAGTGGAAGCAGGGCACGTCCACGGCAGCCCTGTCAAGGAGGAGGGCGCCCTGGAAAACCAGAGCGACGCCGTGCAGCCGCCGCCAGACAGACCAATAGAAAAGAAGTCTTATTCCCGGGCAAGGAGGACCAGAGTCAAAGCTGGGGACGCGGGGAAGCTGGCGGATGACGTGCCTGCTCTGGAAGCTCCTGCGACACCAAAACCTGTCCAAGCTGAGGCGTCCCCCCCGCCAGCAAAGAGCAACTGGGAGTCGCCAGTGGAATCCAGCTTGGATGGACTTGAGCAGGAGATGATTCAGATGAATCTGACGGAGCAGAACTGGAGCCCGGGGCAATCTCAGTTCTTACAGCCCCGGGAGCTGCGGGGTGAGTGTGTGCCAGCTGGCAGCTTGGGTGCTGCTGCCCCTGCCTGGGGTCTGCAGCCACGTAGGCGGTCAGAGCTGAGCAGTGTGATGCTGTCCCAGCTGTGGAGGGTGGTGGAGACTCACGAGGTGGAGAAAATGCAGTGGGACAACGGGAAGGGACAAAACAGAACATAAAAATGAGGAAATTAAACGTTCTGTTGTAGGTGAACTGGGTTAAGGCTCAGATGGGCATCAGAGCAGACTCCTCCTTACCCTATTTGTTAAGAATGGGGGAAGGGTCAGTGAAGGGGAAGGGCTGTGCAGGAAGCAGGCAGCAGGAACTTGCGGAGCAGTGTGAGTCACAGCCAGGCTCAGAGCTGGAGTTCAGAGGATAAAGAGCATTACGTGTGGTTATGGGTGAGGGTGATGAGTAACTGGGCTCCTGTGGTGTGCTGCTGGGGGCAGGAGGGACCCGGCCTCCCTTCATCAACACAGGCATGCTGCAGGCTCTGAGCTGCTCTCTGGCGGTGCCGCTTGGCTGCGAATCCAGTGGTGTGGTTGCAGGAGGCCAATCTGTGCTGGGAAGTGGGCAGGCAGGCTGAGCAAAGGACCGAATTCTTGTGGGGCAGCCATTCCAGAGGTCGTGCAGACGTAATCATCAATTTGCAGAATTAAGGTTTTTACTGGGGAGAGTCAGAGTCCTTCCCAAGAGAAAC